TGCTCCCCTCAGCCTCGACTTATCTACCTCACCATTGTATGTGTCCTTGGCATCGCCGCCATCATCGTTGCCCAGTGGGACCGATTCTCTACACCTCGTCACAGACCTACAAGAGCAGGTGCTCACCGCCTGAGGATAATATACGTTTCTACCCTGTTAGATTTGGGTGGTCAATGCAGTTTTATCATGTCTGTCACTGTTTTTGCCTTTCCTGAGCATTGGTGATAATATTCTCGCAGTGGCAAACCATTGTATGCAGGGGAAACGCTGATAATATGTTGTAGTTAGGAATGACTGCTGAGTTTTGTTTGAAATTAATTTGTAATCATTTTTGTTTAGTCTTGTAACTCACGTCCATGCTACTCTTAGGCGTGTTCATGGGTCTCGGACTAAGCGGCATTGTCCCCACCATGCACTTCACCATCGAGGAGGGCTTTGTTAAGGCCACCACAGTCGGACAGATGGGTTGGTTCTACCTGATGGGTGCCATGTACATCACTGGTGCTGGTCTGTATGCAGCCAGGATCCCTGAGCGCTATTTTCCTGGCAAGTGTGACATCTGGGTAAGTGTTTAACATGTTGCATAACTTAATTATTAGAGTTAAAGTTACACAAACAGTAGGGGACAGTAGACAAGGTGCAACAATCCCCCACAGTCCCCATGTCCTCAAAACATACAAGAATCAAGTTATTATGATGCCATTAAGAAAAGAGCTGTTTAATTTCATGTATACAATAAAAAAAAAGTGTGACATATTTCTAATTAACCTAGATTAATAATTAAAACCAGCAATGATATTTGAGTTTTGAAATTTGCACAAAATAATACTAGTTTTCTCTCTTACTGTCAACACTAAAGACACAGAAATGTTGTTGGAATAAACTTTACTGAAATTGTCAGTGGACAAAAGCGACCTAAGATCTTGGTTTTTATGCTCAGTGTGAGCTCAACATAGTGGCCATTGGTTGAACTGTACAGTGTGAGCAGAAAGGTTGCAGGTTCTGGCTGCGTAGGAAAGCTGGTTAAAATATGTAGTGTGAGTTAACACCTTGCACATGTTGCATAAATTGCCACAATGTCTGCCCAGCTTCCAAGGCTAGCTTTGCAAGTATGTCGACATAAATAGATTTCTGACTGTAACTGTTCGACACACGCGGTGCACCCGTACCAAAGCAAAGAAATTTCATAATGAACTAAACGTCTGCATCAAACTGACTGGGATAGTTATACCTACCGTTGCACCTCTAGAAGACACACTACTTGATGTTTAACAATCAGGAAATTAGTGACTAAAGAAGAAGCTTCCCACTCAGTTGAAGTCTTTGGATGTACTTTTCATTGTTTAATCAAACATAAGCAAAAGATAATAAATGTTACTAATACAAACGTCTTTCTTTCACTCTTCTTAGTTCCATTCTCATCAGATTTTTCATGTTCTGGTCGTGGCAGCAGCATTCATCCATTTCTACGGGGTTTCAAACCTGCAGGAGTTCCGCTATGGCCTCGAGGGAGGATGCACAGATGACTCTCTACTCTGAGAGGCTTGACTGTGACTTACTTATACTTTTCTTTATAGCCCCACAAACACACACACACACACACACATACACACACACACACACACAAAATGCTGCTGGAATTCAATATAGTCACTTTTTGCCCCTTCTGTATTTCTGATTTGCTAACATCTTGTTTGGGTTTTAGTGGTCTTTCTGCTTTTGGCTCTTTTTTGCTCCAATAAAGTAGCATTAACTAGCCAATGAAATATGGAGGGAACAGGCACTACTTGTTACAATAATAAATACGAAGCTTGAACTCAGCATTTTCAGCTATTATAAAAAACGGGATTTTAACCAAAATATGTATTTCTGAAACTGATAGTCTCTTCTTAGAAGCTCACGAGTACCCCCAACCTCTTCATCATCTGTTACCATTGCACAAAGGGTACGGAGAGTATTATTTGTGCTGTAGCAGAAGGCACATACTGTAAATCATTCCCTTTTCCACTTCCAGTTTCCATGCAGGTTAGAGGATGAATGTACTGTCCACCAGGAGTTTGGTGTTGAGCAGTCCAGGACCATTTAGGTGCTTGAGAACTTACAGTACACACACATTTGTAAGAGGGTGATGAACATATAAAGATGTGTGTATGGATACCACCAGATGTTTTTTTTTTTTTTTTTTTTTTTTGAACTGTATTGACACTGATTGTTCATCTTTCGGTTACAACACTGAGGACCATCACAAATCCACATAAGCCCACTCAGCAATAAACCATAAGCTGTATTCTGAAAGTCCATTCAACACCAAAATCGAATACTGTTTTTTGGTGACTTTGTAACATCTGTCCAAGGTATACAGATGGAAGACGGCCTGCTGGCTGCTTTACAGCACATTTTACAGCAATGTATATTAATGTGCACTGTTGCTGTTAAATTAAACAATCAATAAATCCTTTTAAACAAAACATATAGCTTAGGTCCCATAAATATGATCTACATGTGTCTGAATAAAAGAGGTGAAGCTAAGAATTGAATAGGGTTGGATATTTCTCAGTTTCTTTGAATTTTATGCTGAATTTCATAGAGGTTCCCTTGCCTTTGATGCATTATTTTAATTGACAAAAACAGGTTGTTTTTCAAATTGTTTAATGGCACAGATAATCTGTAAAAGTTTGTAGCTGTTGTGGAAAAATGTCTCTGCTTAGTTCAGGTTAGACTAAGATGCTTATAATGCTGAAGTGACAAGAAGTACCCTGTCACCATTTGCAGTCAGACAATACATCACTGATTCATTTCTGAGTAATAGTTCCTGGGCTACGCACAATGTACAGATCTGGATCCGTTAAACTGCGTTTTGGTCAGCTAGAGATTTTTCTTTTGTGCTAGATTTCCGATGCAATGAGAGGTGTAAATATCAAAAGCACCTTAGTGTATACTATTAAATTGAAAACTTTAAATCACCATATGAGGTTTAAAATGTGTTCTGTATGATTGATATAAACTTTTAGTATTCCTGTGCCTTAGGCCAATGGAAATGTTTTTAAAGAAAATGGCCTATCTTAACAGTCAAGGGAGCGTCAAGGATTTCCAGATGTTGACTTTTCTTGTTTTCCTTGCCATATATATAAACACACACACAATCGAATCATTATTGAACTTACAATTCCATTGATAGGTTGTATGAACTGCTGTTTAAGACTCCTTTTTCTAGATGAACTTATTCAAGCTTTATTACAAAGACTAAAACGATGTGTATTCTTGACTTTGTGTAATGTCCTGTGTAGAAAGTGATAAATCATACATTTCACTGAAATGTAAACCTAAATATTTATTAATGGTAATCTTGGAAAATTATTGTAATAAATTTTTTTCCACATGTAAAAAAAAAAAATGGTGTCTGGTTTTCTCCAGTGCATGTTTGAAGGTGTCGCAAATGAGAGAGTAATATAAAGTCAGAAGATTTCTTGTAAATGTGGGACTTTGACTTTTGTAAATGTCACATTTACAGTGAACAATGGTAAAGACAACATGGTCTGTTTGTTATCAATGATCTGTCACCATACATATTACATTCCTGTCTTTAGAACAGAGAGTGAATCCAGTGGCCAGGAGATGTGAATTCACAGCTGATATGCTACTAAAAACTCTCATGCATGATCTCACGCTAAAATAAACTGAAAAATAATTTGATTGTATCAAAATTTCACATTGCCAATAAGAATAAATGAGATGTAGCTGGTAAGCAGAAAGATAGCATGCTTCCTTTAAGGCTGAACAACATTTTCTATTCTACTACTATATTCATAAAGAAAACAATAAACAACTGTGTCTATTTTTTATGGGGGTTTTTTTTGTTTTGTTTTTTTTCCTCCTGAATTCTTACTCCCCTAAATATATGGGCTTTATAACAATAAAATAGATTGAGACTTACTGATTGAGATAAATGTTCTGTTCTATAATATAACACCAAGTTTGTCAACATTTTTAGCTAAATTAGCTACTTAGCGGACCTTGTTTTCATTTTGTGGTACTTTATCCTTCACCATATTTAGGAGAGAAATATTGTACTTCTTACCTCTACATATATATATTGCTACAAAGTAAGGATCTATAATCACTATAATCCAGTTGTAGAAGATGATACTGAGGACAACCATTTTGCATACTTTTTTTGTATTATTATTATTTTGAAGTACTTATCTTTCTTTGGTAAATATCCAGGATTTTTTCCTCACAATTTAAAATATCTGAATATTTGTTTAATCTATTTGTTGGAACAGACCACGCTCAAAAATGGTAAAGTCTAAAAAAGTGACTAATTATTCCTAAAATTATTTTTGTTTCTGAAAGCTGTGTGAAACCAGTTTTAGAGTTTTGAACAAACCAGACATAAATCCATCACGTTAACATTTTACATTGCATTCGTTTTTAAAAGGTTGCTCAGGTAGTATTTCAGTAAAGCATAATGTACGGCAAAGGAGTCCAGGGTGCCTTGCAGGCTTGTTAAACTAATGGTTCAATGCAGGTAAGAAAATTTATTACAAAGAGAGACAGTTTAATAATGCGGAACCAAATCACAGCTCCATGTTTTAGAACGAGAGCATTTATTGGCCGGAGCACATCAAGACCCGCTAGTATGCTCGCCTAGCCTTAGCTAACACTTTGTGTTTTACGGTTTTATTGTCATTTTCAGTATTTTCTTTACTTTGACCTCTAGGTATGTCGTCTTTGGCTTAATTTAAATGTGTGTCCTTAATATTTATGAATTCAGTTATTAGTCTTGTCGCAGTCTGTTGAGTTCAGTGTTAGCATAGATGTTAGCATGAATGAGAGAGGCGGGGCTTCCTGTATAAGGCTATAGCCGTTGAAATTCATGTCATTTTTGTTGTTTTTTTAACATAAATATCTTGGAATGTAATTCAGTTACATGCCTGGTACTTGTTCTGTAATTAATGAAAAATTAGTTGAATTTTCTCTGACTTCCGCACTACAAACGTCCTGAAGGCTTGTATCCGGTCCACTCACTTTGTGTTGTGTGCCCAGCCTTTATCTTCGTAAACGTAGCATTTTCAGTTATTAGTTGCTAGTTGGCCCTTACAGCTAAGTTTTGTGTCTTGGATCAATCGGCTTGGCCTGGTGAAAGAGTCCTTGTCCTGATCCTCTTTGTGCATGTACATCCGAGTAAACTTGCTGTTTGTCAGGGTTCGAGATGGACAACGAGCCACAGTCCGGAGACGGCACGGACCGGTCCGACCTGGTCTCTGAGGACGGCAAGAACAGCAAGTCTGTGTTGTGTCAACGCTGTGGGTCCAAGGTGCTGTGTCCAGGGATGGCCGTGTTTGCAGAGAAGGAGGTATGATGCACCATGTTCATCCGCAGGTCGTATAAATAAATCACATAGTTTTAATATTAGTAAAGCCCAATTTAACACAGGAAGGAGTCGCGGTAGCTCAATAGAAGGACTGAATAATTAATCAAAATACTATTGCAGTGTGGACCAGTGTAATAACCAAGTGGCACGAACTGCAGTTTTTGATAAAGGTAAAATGTGTCACCACACACCATTTAAAATGAAGCTTCGTGGTGCCAGAGACAGGCCCTTGCATTCACATGATTTTCTCCAGATGACTAAAGTAGTTAGGCATATTGCAATCACAAGAAATGTCAGTAATCACAGCATGATTGTTTTTGCTTATTGTTCAGCCCTACTTTACATGATACCACTAAAGACATGCACTAGAGTAAGTCTTAACTCGAGGTAATATTATTTCTGTCTTATGCTACTGTCTACTTCTACTTTTCTACAACTCAAAGGGACGCATTGTACTGTTACGCCACTACATTTTTGTTTTTGACAACTGGAGTTACCGCTTAATTTATAGTTTTAAGTGATAGATAGATAGATAGATAGATAGATAGATAGATAGATAGATAGATAGATAGATAGATCTGGCCTTCAGCACCACAAACTAGTGCAAACCAAATAAATTAAGTAATAACAACAAAGGTAATAATAACTAATACCAACCAAAATGACTAATAACGCAGAAATGTACAGAAGAAACAGACTGACATCCACAAACATACATATTATATACAAGAAAAACAACATGAAAGCATCAATACAATATTATATATATTACATCATATTGTTAATAATACATTTAGCAAAATGTTTGCACTCCCAATTTTGTGTTCTTCCAGTGTTTTCATATCATTTGGGCCTGTATTTTCTCCCACCAGCTGTTCCTGCCATCCATGCGGAAAAAGAGCGGCCTCAGCAAGACAGACGGCTCAGTAGACGGTGACACTCTGACTGCCCACTGGTTAGTGGACGACATGTACACTTTTGAGAATGTGGGCTTCACTAACGACGTGGGGAGAATCAAGTATCTCATCTGTGCAGATTGTGAGATTGGACCAATCGGCTGGCACTGCTTGGATGACAAGAAGAGCTTCTACGTTGCGTTGGAGAGAGTGAATCATGCGTAGTATCGATGCATATGTGAGCCCACAAGAACTTTAAAAAAAGTGTTGGCTGGCTATGTGTTGTTTCATGGATTTACTGTCAGAGTTTACCCCAACTATATCCATAACACACACATTTACAAATACTGTTATGTGTATGCGTTTGTGGTAACGGAATTGTGTTGCTTTCATTCTCATCTATCACACTGACAACAGTACAATTATCCTGTTCTATTAAAAACACGTTTGGGATGCTGATGTTGAATGCCATCCTTTCAGCTGCCTCCTGGATAAAATGAAAATGTTCCTGTGTATTCTGTATGTTTTACCAGAATTGACACTAAATCAGGATTTTTAGAAACAATGAGTCTTTAAAGTCAATTATGAAGCAACTAAACCAAATATTCATTGACTTCACCTTTTCAGACTTTGACGCTTTTCTTTGGATTATGGACTTCTGGCCAAACAGATTTTTTTTTAAAATACCGTGAAAATAATTATTTTTAGAAGCCCTAATAAGTTTCACTCCATTTTGTAAATTACAATAAGCATGGCAGCCTGACATTTAGCTTGCTAGTTTTTCTGCTGACAGGAATACAAGAAATGTTACATACTAAATAAACTAAACTAAAACTACTGAAGTGGACGTTTTCAGTTATAAATCAGTTATACAATCACCACAAGTATCAATGAGGCAAGTGCAAATCTTATGAAGAACTGCTTTGTGTGCAGCTGTTTAACAGTCAAGATGGTCGACCAGTTAAATGTGTGTTAAAATTCTCTTTAACTGACAGCAGTCATTAACTTGGTTGTCTTAAATTCCCACAATATGCAAACTTGTATTTCAAATATGGTGTTTACTGGAGTTATTAAATTTGTACCCACAAAAACTTAACTCAGAGATCCTGAAATGTGCTGCTGTCAGCCGTAAAGAGAGAATATTTAAAGGTACAGATGTTTATTCATGAAACGCCAACATTCGAAAGTTGTTTGTTGCTTCACACAAATTGCAAAAAAAAACCATTTTATTTGCGATGCTCATTAGGTTGTAAAATTACACTTTAAAAAATCTGCCTCATCTCCTTCAAAGACAATGTTCCAATGACTGGAATAACCCACAGACCTCACTGTGAACTGCCTGCAGAAGAAATGCCTTCTGTGAAAGCAGTTAACATGTCTTCTGGTTCATGCAAGTGACAGAATGTGGCTGGTGGGTGAACCTCACCCTGCACATAAAGAACAAACCCCTCATTATTTGGAGGTGTAGCTCCACCGTTCACCACTAGATGTCCTGATTTCATTGTTCAACTCAGACATTTATCATTTCGTGGCTGCCAGCAAATCTCCTTTATGATGTGGTCCATTGTTACTTTGTGTGTTCTGCACCTGCCAAACACAGGCTCTGCATGCACCCAGTAAGCCAAACCCACCACATCAGTGCCAGCCATGGTAGTTAGCTGATAACAGTGTGGTTATGGTGGTGTTAAATCTGTCTGAGGTTCCAAAGAAAGAAATTTATTGTGTATGTAGAGGTTTGTGTTTAGAATGCTATAAAAAGAGCATTAGAAAGTATGAGTGGAATGAAAGTGTGAGAAAAAGACGTATTACTATGATAGCTTAAGTAAGAAGTAGACATTCCAGCTAATTAAAAACTATGTGTAGGATTAATCCAGGGATGATTGAAAAGTATGTAACAAATGACTGTACATAAGAGTCAAGAACACACACCAGGGACTAAAAGGCAGAAAGTTTGTGGTTAGTGTGAGTGAACGCCTTTAAATGCTTCTTTTTTCCTGTGACAGCAAAGAACACCTGTTATATCGCCCTCTTACAGCTCACCGTCCAAAATCCCTCCATCAACAAGAAGTTCAAATGAAACTGAGAACCGGGACATTCAAATCAGTTTCTCATACAAAGTTAAACAAAAGAAGGGATTGGCCACATTTTAGAAGCAGCTACCAGATGAAATCTATGAGGTTGTGTCCAAAATGTGAGCTTTATTTTAGAGCTGCAAAGAATAATCAATGAATTGTCAACTACTAGTCATCAAATATTTTGATTATCAGCTAATCAGTTTGAGCAATTTTTCTGTATGAAAAAAAAATAGTTCTCTACTTCCAGCTTCTTAAAATAGAATACTTTCTGTTCTTTTCCCTCCTTTTTGACAGTAAACTGAATGTCTTTGGGTCGTGGACAAGGCAAGACATTTGAGGACATCTTCTTGGGCTTTGGGAAATACTGATCAACACGTTTCATGATTTTCTGACATTTTATAGATCAAAGAACTATATGATTAGTTCAGAAAAATAATCAAGAGATTATGGACAAAGAAAAAAATCCTCAGTTGCAACCCACTTCATTTACAAGACATGTAGCCAAAAAGTCATATCTCAGGCTCAAATGGCTTTGGAGTCTGCACAGCTAACAAACTATAAAGTTGTGGCTTTTAAAAGGAAGGCTCCTCTTTTCAATAGTTTCCCTGAGGTTCTACCAAAGGGATCAATAAACTTCTATCTATCTTTTCAGTGAGGATATAATTAATTTGTGTATGAGATTACATCAGTGTCATACTTACATTTTATGGTATGGTAAAACTGTCCCTTACCTTTAAAAAAGTGGTTAAGGATTATGTGATTGGTAGTGTAATTTTGACAAAAGTATTAATAAAACTATGTGAATTTGCGAACATAATAAACAACCTAAACAGAACTTAGATAAATGCCAGCAACCAACCCATCCTGTATGTAAAAACTGGTAAATGTGAGAAAAGAAAAATTTGATGTGTCGTCCCACATATTTCAGTGTTTTTGTCACGTGTGGATCGTACCAAAATTTAAAGTTACACTTTGAATATTAGATTAGATTAGATCAAAAAATATTAGGTTAAACTTTATTGTCATTGTACAGCATACAAGACATCAAAATGCAGTTTAGCATCTAACCAGAAGTGGAGCGGAAGCAGTAACAGTGTCGTACAGTGTAAGATGTCTAAGGGGAATTGTTTTAAGGGCAGTATGAATAGGAGTATGTAATGTATAACATGCATACAATATGGGTACACACAGTATGTTACAGTATTAACACACTGAACAGTATGACCACAATAAACATATAAATAGAACAAGCTACAATAATACAAGCGTGTTACATAAATAACTATATAAAGTTGGATAAATCGTAAATACAAAAAGAAGGATTAATGACAGTATCAACAGTGTGAACAGTGGATATAATATGCAAGTGATATATAGTGTATACACAGTATGAACAGTATGGAGTACAGTCTGTACAGAGTGAACATATATGTGGCTAACATGAATAATCACAGGAATTTATGGTATTTTCCAATATTATGAGGACAATACTTGATGCAAGAGGAGTTCAGGAGTTAGTGTGGAACAAATGTTTATTATAAAAACATAAACAGCTGAACTATCAACATATGACTCCCCTCCACCAATCAGAGAGCTCCTCTAGACCATTTAAAAACGAAGTGCCGGCCAGCGCGCAAAGATCTGGTGGGTGTGTTCGAATACAGAACGCCGCGTGCCGTCTAATACATCTATTCTTTCCACACAGCCGGGCGGAGTCAGGAATACTCAACCCACCACATGTCTTCATTTGTAATCCGATTGAGCCCAGTGCACCGCCGTGGCTAGAAGGTAAAGTAATCAAACGTATTCAACAAGGGGGGCAATCATCTGTAAGGAAACCACGGAACCAATAAGCTATAAAATCCTAAACTGCGTGTTCTCAAAGTGTGAACTGTACGAACAAACTCTACATTTATTTTCAACGGCGTTAAAGTTGACTGAAATAACGACGAAGCCGTTTCTCTGCTTCAGCATAGTTCTACAGCCATTTAACTCCATCTGATATGAACACGCATCATCGGTTTAGTAAAATAATAATTCACACAAAGTCAATGCTCGCATTTATATCCAATGTTTGCGTTTATAGGTTTGATATAACCTCAGAAATATGCAAATAAATGACAGTAACCTGAATAATTCGTGGGTGTCTACTTTGTGAGGCGGACGTGCACAGTCTGAAGCTGTCACCAGCTCGTCTCCAACTAGAGAATTCGTCTTTGAGTTCAGTGAGTGGAGTGTGGACATGAACTGAAAGACAGACATTCAAAGCAACCATTTTCGGCGTGAGGGATTCCTTTCAAATTATTTCAGCTCGAGTCATAACGAAGATGCAACGATGACTCAGCCACAGCTGAATGAGTTCATTCCTCCTCCGGAGTGCCCCGTTTTTGAGCCCAGCTGGGAGGAATTTGCCGACCCTTTTGCGTACATCAACAAAATACGACCAATTGCAGAGAAAACTGGCATCTGCAAGATCCGACCGCCGCCGGTGAGTGTTTCTTCCTCTTGGCCACTGTTCGATGTGTTTGCACGGCGTGTTGGGCTCGGCCGCTGTGGATAATTTAGCAGGCAAAGTTGTGTTTTTAGACAGGTTTCAACATGGCGGATTGCGGCTCCGAGTAGAATAGTGAGCTAGCCCGAGCAGGAGTGTGTTCAGTTCGCTTCAACGGTAGGGAAGCTCTCACAGACCTGCCATTCAAGAGGAAACCTGTGTCCTGGCCAAGTTTTAACCCCCCCAAACGGTCACACATTTATTTATTACAAAAGTCCGCTTGAAGAGGGCGTTTTCTAAAAATAATTCAAACGTTAAAGTTTGCCTGCACGCAAATATAATGTAAATTGTTTACGTTAGCGCAGAATGAAGTGCTTCCTGGAGTCTGCGCACGGAAATAACTCGCCGACGTTTGAACCAGTGGTTTGTCCTTTGAGTAATTTGGTGAAAATGTAAAGCACAACTTTTCCCGATTGGGTTTGACGGCTTTAGATAGTGTGAGGTAACCTAGCTAGCGTTAATCAGGCCCGTTTAAAGCTGCAGTTGTCTCACATCTAACGCTGGCTAACGTACGTGCTCGGTGACCAACTGTTTATGGAGAAAAGGGTCGCTCAAACACGGCGCTTAATGGACACTCCGTTTCTCTCTCTATCATAGTTTCACTATCTTCACCTACTTTAAAAGCCATTTTCCTGACGTTTTTTTTATTAAACCAACTATTATAGACTCGTAAAATAATCTAATATCGTTATTGTGGGAACAACTCTCGCAACGATTGTTTTTGACAATAATTCCCCTTTTCTCATTGGAGGATTATTCTGTCGTAATCCACACCTCCCTGGCGTCACAGAAGAGAAATATTATTTGTTTAAAAAAAATAAAGAAAGAAAGCAAACATAACACTTAAAAAAAAAAAAAAAGTTTAAATATATTTTTATAAA